ATATATATATATATATATATAGATAGTACTTGACTTGTACTACACAGGCATATAGACAAATTGAAATAATGTTGTGTAGTTTTAATACACGACTTAAAAGAAAAAAGTGGGATCACACTTTTGACCGGCACTGTAGTATAAGAAACAAACTGCCTACTTGGAATGAAAATCGCAAAACATACAAAGGTACAGCAATGCTGTGAACTATGTAAACACTGATCTCTGATGAAGAAAACCATAGCTTCCGCAGCGGTCATTTGTTACTGAGATCTTTTGTGACACTGTAATGAAACGACACGTCTGAGTGCCTGGCTTACAATCTGCTACTTAGTCGTGCGGATTATTATAATGTCTGATTAATGTTTAACACTATCAGAATTCTTTTTAATCATGGCTGAAGACTTATGGATTGGGTTTGATATATTCTATACAGTTCGAAAAATAGGTAGAAATTTCATCCTGTTTGAACAAAAATGAGCAAAAGGAAACATTTTCAACGGTGTAAATCGGTGAAAAATGGGTCTCTACAGACCGGTAGATTTTCTCGGATGGTTTTCTTTTGATGCTGTGTAAGAGATGATCAATAGAAGATGCAGGATACTTTGCAACCGCTTATGGCGTTTCAGTGACGAAGCGGCTTCAACCGAATATAGATTTTACAACATATTCACTTGGATGCTCCTTTGAGCGATGAGTACATACTCAAGATAGAATTATAACTAGGATCCAAAAATAGAAATGGTTCTAGACAAAAGTGAAAATTTCAGAGGGAGAAAAAACATCGTCTGACTACGGTCTGAGAGAATTGAGGCATTGATTTAATTCAATCGTGGGAATCGACTGCGAGCTGTTCACTTACGTATATCTTAGAACGTCAGAATAGAAAATAGAAAGGTCCGATTCTTTTACAAAAATGGTCATCACTAACAATGCTATAGACAGATTTTCGTCTGTGCGCGTGTCGAACAATAATTCTGAAAGCAGAACTCGAAAGCGATAATAGACGATTACAAAATTGAATTCAGTCGAGGGTTAAGCGAGTCCTAACGACGAGCGTTACTTGTTCATATCAGAGCAGTGATCTTCGTACGCAATAACATCTGCTTTTCAGCTTTGAGTTTCTTTAAATATGTTAGAAAGTTATCTATAAAATGTATAAGTGTAATTAGCCACCTTGATACTCCAATACTTATTTTTATGTCTAGCATCAACCAGATATAAGGAAAATGAGATTTTTTTACTAGTTAAAGTGCATATATAATGCAAAAAACCTGTTATTGTTTGAGCTCTGTGTCTGATTAGAAACGCGAGTTATCAAGTGTTGCCTTATAATTATTTTGTTATATGTATTTTATTATTAAACAATCAATCAAGAAGTATATCAGTTTGTCGAAATGCATTAGTATGGAATAGCATAACCAAGAATATCATGAACTGAAAAAAAATATGCTTTTTTTTCGAATTAAGTTTCTCGAAAGCTTTTCGTTGAATAGTTCAAAACATTAATTGGAGGTAAATCAATTCAAAGAAAAAAAACGATCTTTTTCTATCTATTAGAGTGAATAACGATGAAGAATAATTAATTTTTACATTTGTCATTTGTTGACGGTTTTTTTGACAAATTTTTTATAAGTACCGAATAGACGATCAAAATCAATTAATGGTACTCCATAATTACATTCGAAAAATGCATGATGTAAATAATGAAACGCTGCACCACCAGCTGGATCATCATGACCATCATGCCCACTGATTGGTCCAATATCAGCCTGGAATTTTGCATAAAGAAAATGAAGTGGATGACAAGAAAAAAGAAGAGGAAAATAAACGCGTGTATAATAGAAGAAATGTTCGACTGGATGCATCGATAGTCCAGACCATGGACCAGGATTATGACTTCGATGATGAAGACTATGAAAATGACGATAAAGAAATGCACCAATATCACCATCTTGTATTCCATGTCGAACAGACCGCCATGGATGCATAAAACGATGGCTCTTGATATATAAAACAATTTTACAAATGAAAACTCATAATCTGACCTACCCAATAGAAATGAAATGCACTCCAATAAGTAACACTTAAAAGAATAAAAATTGAAAAGAATGGTCGTGACCAAAAATCACTATAATAAGGTAATCGACCACTAGCCCATAGCCACATAAAAATGCATTGAAGGAAGGATGATTGTAACCAACCAAGTGTGGTGAATGTTATTTCTCTTGATAAATGATCTTGGCCTTTATCTTCATAGGGATTAACTGGATTAAATTTTTTTTCATGTAATGGGCCTTGAGCATATGGACTTCGACGTGCATGAGTTATCCAATGCCAAAATGGATAAGTAGTAAATTCACAAGCAATATTAAAGAGAAAAACTTGAAATACCCACTGAAAATGCCATTCATTTGCTTTAGAAAAGGTTAGTGGAAATATCCAAAACCAACATAGAAGTGCAACACTAAACTCTACTGCACGATCTAAATGGCACCAAATAAGATAATCAAATGTTTTTTGCTGCCAATAAGACCATTGTTTATACGTTTTGAATATCAATGGAGTTGAATAGCTTTTTTGACCCGTATGAAGACGATGAATTCCAACAATATTGTGAATACCAAACGTCATTCTGATTATATCAATTTCATAGAGCAAAGATTTTATTTCTTCAGAATTTATAGTAACCCACTGCTCTTTTTTATTCTTGTCTCCCTTATACAATCTACCTTAAAAGTATGTTGCCCTTATAATTTATCGACGGTTCGACAGCGCTTGTTCTTCACATGTAGCTTGATAAAGACAAGAGTGGTAATAAAAATTGTATGCATTTTGCCTCTCTTTCTTTATCTGCACAAACTATTTGTTTTTCATTTTGAGTTTAAAAAGTATTGACTACTTCACATTATTTGGGCACGTACTTGTTATAAGATATAGCTTTAAAAAACATCACTGTTGAGCTGGTTCTCATGAATTGAAATTATATTTTCATTAATATTTGAGTTGCATCTAACGTGATATTATCCAAATGATTGGTTAATTAATACTATTATATCTATAGGGTGGCCCAGAAATAACCTACTAAAAGTTTTTTCGCACATCTTTGCTATGTCATTTAACTTTACCAACACTTTTTTTTAAATTATAGGTGAATATAGTAAGTTTTTATTTATCCGAACGACCTTTCATACTATGGTGCAAAACGATCACCTTGGATCGAGATACAAAAATTTTACTTTTTTTATCTTGCCAGAAAAACATTATGCAGCGTTTTTTTCTTTAATCATTTTGACTGCCTGTAGTAGTCTTCTGCAAATTTTGCTTCAAAGAAAAGGTTTTAAATTTTTTTAATATACATATTCTTGAGGGTGTGGGTGTGGTGGATGTGGGTGTTGGCATGGACGTTTTCTCGATCAAGAAAAAAACGAGAGCCTACTCCTATCCCAACCCTACTCATACTCTAACCCACACCTAAACCAGCCTAAACCGGTCTGACCGGTCTAAATTTTTCACTTTTCTGCTTTTATCACTAAGATTAACCCAGTGTTGTAGTTGGTTCTAATTGTATTACTGGTATACCGGTATTTGCTGTTACACCGGTTTCGATCGGTAGATCTGTAAAACCGGTATACTGGCCAGTTCGGTGTGGTTTGAAGAAAGCTAGGCCTGTTCCATATCTGGCCTATATCCACACTCACACCCTCATCCAGCCAGCCACACCCACACCCAATCACAGTCCACTCTCAGTTTTCTATTGTCAATCAATTCACTTTCTTAAATGGAATATTACATTATGGATGTTATCAACATGATCAAAATAGATGATTTAATAACAGATGAATTATATAATAAATGCTGTCAAATTAAATTGATGTACGACAGTATGAAAAATAAAAATGTTAAAATAAGTGAACAAAAAAACCATAGAATTCAAGCAAAAATATTGATAATCCAGAATCAACAATAAATAATCATCGTGAAATTCGATGGGACATAGACTATGATGCAGAAGATGTTTTATTGTATGAAGGACAAGATAGAAATGAATACATTAAGGCTGATCAAATGTGGTCATATTAGTTGAATATTAAATCTAATGCAACACCAAACATGCACTTGGTTATTGCTTATGTTGAAACCATATTGAGTCATATGAATTACTTATGGGACTGATGATCGAAATAGAATGGGTGTTGAATTAGTTAAAGCTGAAATGCAAATCAGAAAGAATTCTAAAATCTCTTGTATGCACTTTCATAAATTTCTTTTATCTCAGCCAGATTCGTTGAAGGAAATAACATCAAATGAAAAATTTGAAAAAAAGGAACGCATACTTGTCAAATCTATTTTGGTTTTTTTATACAAGCGTTTTTAACTGAATGTGTACATATATAATTTGTTTTCGCTTCCTGTTTTTCAATCATCTACATGTTTTAATGAGAAAAATGATCTCAAGTAATGAATTAACTATTGTGTTTTTCTTTATTATCGATGAGCTTTACATGAATAAATGATAATCAATAAAGAAAACATGTTTTCTTTTAAAAAACAAGGTCTACTAATGCATCGAAAAGTTAGATAATTGTTTTCCGAATTTTTAGAAAATAGAGTCCGACTTTTTCCAGATTCCAATATAAAAGAATCCGATTTTTAACTTTTCGATCTGGCAACTTTGCCTCGATGACAATGTCATGCGAATAATAGTATGATGTTTATTTTTCTAGATTCATAGCAACAGTATATAAATATGATGTGATTCTTTTTCTAATGATTTCATGATTCTTACTGGCATGATCACTTGTTTTCGTTGCATTCGCTTCAACAGAGTAGTTGAGTCGTCAATTTTTCTCGTTATTAGTGGTTTTCATAGATTATTCGTTGAGCTTTGACTTTGTTCAAATGTGCGTGTTTACATATTCTACAGTGACTCATAACTTGATGTACAAACACTTCGACATACGAATGCAAAAAAAATTCGTTTCATTTTGTGCACAGCAAAGTTACTTGAATATCTGTGATATGCAGGTATTCTTTATTATTCACTTCGAGTATGTTTTTCTTTAACTAGAGTGCGAAGTCGACGAGTACTCCATTATCTGTTTTCCGAATAAAATGTCGTCAAATGTAGCAACATTTTGGAACAGAATGAAAAAGAGTTTGACTCGACAATTGTACGAGTTAATTATGTGAGAAATCTTGTATTCAGTGAGAAGGGTGGGTGTGGGTGTGGGTGTAGGTGCGGCTGTGGGTATGGGTGCGGCTGTGGGTATGGGTGGGGCTGTGGGTGTGGGTCTTCCTTTCATCTATACCCACACCCACCCACACCCACAACCCCATCCACCCACCCACGTCCACACCCCCGCACCCACCCACGCCCACACACCCACACCCACACCCACCCACACCCCACAGTCACACCCACACCCACACCCAATTAAATCATCAAAACCAATATGAATTTCGTTAGGATCAAAACAGATCAATCACAATATATAATTATTAAAAGTTTGATAAAATATTTTTCTTTGTCTTTCTTTTCGAATACATCGATTTAAGAAGTCATATTATTTATTTGATGAATACATATCCAAATAACGACATTGTGTCATATTATGTATTTCTAATTCATTACGAGCGATTAAACTTTCCTGTGGTTTCATTGTCTTTTGAAGTTCTTGTGCTATCTGAAAAATTAATAGATAAACTATTCCTCGAATAAAATCATTTATTTTTACTTGTTCATTTTTTTCCATAACTCGTAAAATATTTCCACCAATAAGTTTAATAATATCATCATGTGTCCAATTTCCTTGTGATAATAAATATTCGATTAATTTTGGATATTTTGATACATCTTCAAGATCCTTCGGTGTTCTGAAATATTAATATATATGTAAAAATAAAATCAAAATCAGTCAATACATACTCATCAATACCGTCATAGTCGCCACCAATACCCACACTGTCGATACCAGCAATATTTCTTATATAGTTGATATGTGCTGAATGAATAATAGATTATAAAAGAGAAAAAGAAACAATAAATCATTTTACCTGCAACATCAACAATTGTTCCAAGATTGGCAGAGTCACATGTGATAAAGTAAGGTGAAAATGTAACCATTACTATACCTTGATTTCTTTTCTACAATACAAATATCAAAATATCTGTATTATAAATTAACATTTAAACTTACGACTAATTCAAGTACATCATCTTGAACATTTCGTGTATGATTACATAATGAATAAGCTGATGAATGACTAAATATAACTGGTGATTGAGTTACACTAAGTACATCTATCATTGTTTGTTTTGAAACATGTGATAGATCAACTAACATTCCAAGTCGATTCATTTCTCTTATAATTTTTTTACCGAAATCTGTTAAACTATTGTTTTTTATAAATATTGAATTTATTTGATCGACTTGGTTTTGGTCAGCCCTTCGTTAAAAAAAACAAACTTAAATTTATTAATCAATTAAAAAATTCAAAGATCTCTTGCTTTTTTTTTACCATGGAGTATTGCAGTTATGTGTTAGTGTCATATATCGTACACCCATTTGATAAAAAAGTCTCAAGATAGAAAATGAACTTTCAATTGCTTGTCCGCCTTCAATACCAAATAAACTAGCTATACGTTTAGCATTAAATGTTTGTCGAACTTCTTCAGCTGTTTTAGCCAGTTGAAATACATCTGAATATTTAGCTATAATTCTATTCATAAGATCAATTTGTTCCAAAAAACTTAGCAGTGCATCCTTTCCTTGATGTTGACAATCCGTATAGATTGACCAAAACTAATATAAATTTTTAATATAGTTTTGTTTTGTTTTGCTAAGATATGAAAACAAAAATTAGAAACCAACCTGTCCTCCAACTTGCCCTTGTCGTAAACGTGTTATATCTGTATGTGATGGAGTATAATTATGGATTTGGTATTGAGTCACATTGTATAAATCAAGATCATTTATTTTATTTTGAAAATTTTCACGAATAAGAAAAGCCCAATCATTGTGTCTAGAAAAATAGACAAGAAAATTAGATGAGGAATATTTGTAAATTATAACTAGTTGTAAGTTTTACAGAAAAAAATAAAATTTTATTGAAGATTGCCAACAGTAATGATTTTTATTCGATTTCGAAAAATTCATATCATTTTATTATTGAATGACGGCAATAAAATATCGAAGAGATATTTTGAAGTATCATTGATATTACATTTGGTATTGTCATCATTACTTTATTGATTCAACGAATATAAATACCCATGTTAACGCACAATATCGTTCTTTAAAAGCAATGATTTAGATTATGTTCTTGTGTACAATATAATACTTATTTAATTTCATTGTATATACGTAAATAATACGAATCTTATATGCTTGTACTTTATTTTTAAGTTTTAGCAAAGAAATATTTATGTAATGATTTTCAATGTGATCAGATATGTAATACTTCGATTAAAGATATCAACTGCTTGTTAAAATCAAGCAAAAAAAATCCGTTTTTTTTGTGTACCGGGTAGACTATTGACCGAAGTTGATATGCAAATCGAATCAGAATTTATTCATGTTTTAGATTAGTCTATGCTGTTTAGTTCGATTTAGATAAATACAAATTGATATGATTATAGCAGTGTATCATATAATCTTTACGTGGTTTTATACCGAATGCATTTTTTTAAAGAAAAATCCTAATTAACAATGATAGTGAAAGTAAAACGAATCGTCGTCTCAAAGCGTGTATGGAAACTGAAAATGAGGTTGTGCAAGTTTTTATTTGTAAACGAACTACTCAATCGCACAATTTGTCGAAATGCTTGACATTGTACAACACATAATTTTCTACATAATCAGACCATTCTGAAGTACATATTCATTCACAATAGAACATGAACGACTACCAAAAATTTGATAAAAGAATATCATGAACTCATAATAGATAATAGAAAGATTTGTTTTTGACTTTCTCAAATGGACCTGAATATTTACTGAAAATATTTCGGTTATAGCATCAATATATAATGAATGCACATTTATCTTACCCATCAATTAAGGGATTATTTTCAAGTATCTGATACGCTTGTTTTTCAATAGTTAATGCTGCAGATTTTCGACTGCCAACAATAACGGCAACAGTAATACCAACGGCAATGACAATGACCAGTAAAGTTAATAAACTACCAATAATAACTTGACGTTTTTTAATTAGTACCATTGTTTTGTTCTCAATGATTGATTATGTTGGCTTTATTAAAATCACTTTTGATAATAGCTTTTACTTTATCAGTAGTTCTCTGTATAGAAAGAGTACAAGAAGAAGATGATGAAAAATGTTTCGATTGTAGAACAAAAGGAAAGATATAACAGTGTTGTATGAAAAAAACATTTATGAGGCAAGAGAAAGAGAAAAGACAAACGAAAAGATCAATACGAAAGCAATAATTCATGGTAGAAATGTATGATGAAGACAGGACAATAGGTTCTCCTGAAAATTGTCAGAAAATAAAAACGTCGAAAAGAAAATTATCGAAAGCAAAAATGTCAAAAATATAATGTCGAAAATAAAATGTTGAAAAAAACATGCTACTGTTTCACATCATGAAAGTTAGATCTTGGCAGGAAATATTCGAAAGATATGGAGAGACATGCCATTAACAGGATGGATGTGGTTCTTCTCTTCATTCACCCACACCTCGGATAGACTGACTTCGACAAAAGAAAATCGATCGGTGGAGCTATATTAAAATGGCATTATCTGCTAAAACAATGACTTCTTGGCTCTTTCTCGCTTGGTGATAAAGAAAAGAACATCCTTTGCAATCACTAATTCAAACAAGAGAAGGAAAGAAAGCAACAGCATATGCGAACATAGCAGCGGAGAGTACTCGATAAAGAACTCTGTTTGACCGAATAACTCCGTCTCGAATAATGCCTGTCGAATTCGTTTTTCTTCTCGAGCGATATGCTATCCTTTATTCGCCAATTCAGCTGTATCACATTGAAGAGAAACACAAGCATAACGCCACCGTTCGCGTCCATACGTCATACAAGAAGAATGGCTGGCAATGTTTTAGGCAGTTCTTGTCTCAGTATTTTCAAGAAAATCACTCTGTTGGGCGATATGATAAAGGTGCGTACTATTCGATCCTGATCTAGTCGGTCATTTCTATTAATAATGTGTGAACGAGTCAAATTCTTGCCAATTCATTTGATGTATATCTTTCTTCATCTATAGAGGCTGTTCTACCATTGTAACAAAGGCTGGCTAACGAGCAGAAACAAAAGTTGGAGCATTGTAAGTGATCTCAAAGGTAATCAGTGAAAATATTCTTGTGTTGTCTCTTGTGACGGTAGACTTTAACGAAGTACAACAGATGTTGGCAATCGATGTAATACGCGCCCTACCCAAGCAGACAAAAATTTGGAAAAACGCGTTTAAACGCACAAAAGGGAACCGCGATTGTGAGTCACTGATGTTCATTAAAAAACGCGTTTATTAGTGGGGTGTGGGTGTGGGTGTGGTTGAACTGCAGATTCGCACCCATACACCCACCCCCACCCCCACACCCACATCTTACACCCACACCCAAGATTGGATCTCTCCCCTTCCCAATGGATTGTTTCAAGGCGATGAACAGATCTATTACAAGGGGTGACGAGATAGAAGAAAGAATCGATTGCAGTAGAAATGAATTTCACTAAGAAGAGAGGGTAATGACAATTTGATCATCTCCATAAGCATGTTGGACATATTAATTCTGAAAAGTCTATGCTAGAAGCTTGCTGCTCCGATACAGAAACTTTCTATTTTAGATCTACAAGTATTTGTTGCCCTATCTGAAATCACTATTAAAATTGACCTAATATCAAGGCATCGCAGGGTACTATTTCTTAGTATTCCTTCAAGATCTTCTAACAGTTAAACCGAACTTGAGCAAGTGCCAATTCTTTGACTGATGAATTCTTTGAAAGAATCTATGCAAAATCAACGGATACAGTTTTCATCCATTTTCATGCTTCGCTTGTGTTTAAAAAATAAAGAACAAATATTGTCGCGCTTGTACTAATATGAAGAATTAGAATGTTACGATAGCATGAAGTTTATGTCATAGACTTTTCCATCTGAACATTTGAATAAATTATTCTTTAACTTAGGTCAAGAGACGTATTTAAGCAATTCTAACTGTCTATCTAGTAATCGGTTATATAAAACAAAAATTTCTTTCAAAAGCTTACATGCAACAGATGGAATGGAATTTTGATAAATCTCGACGTGAAAATTTCAACATAAAGTTTTGCTTCACTTGCCATTGAATGTTCGTTTCTTCCATTGAAACTCTGAAATGTTCTATATATCACTGTTTGTAGAGTACAACATCAAACCGTCCCTTGTTTCACAAAGCAACCAAACTCCATCTTTGCCAGATGAAGGATTGGTCTTTGGTCGCGTTGGACTCTCTGTCATCTATTATTGATCCTTCGCAGTTCGTTGAAATCAAACTGAAGAGCAGCTTTTTTTGTGACTTCAAGATGAATATATTGAATGACATAGTCACCTTCATTCAACGAGCACAAAATGTTAAGTCGTTGATAATTAACAATAGTTCATACAAATACAGATCTCATTTAACTTCAAAGAATATTTGTTTAATGGTTCCGCATCATGTGAAATATTTGGACTTGCCAGTGAGACATTTTCAGGATATGGAAATGATTCTTGAACACTGCCAACACTTATCATGTGTCCGATTCAACATCAGGAATTCGAGATTCTCTCCGAAGACCGTACAATGCTTTGGTGAGACTACAATTTATTCAACATATCGGAAAGGCGAGAGAACACTGACTGTGTGGCTTGAAAGAATTAAGATTGAGCCGAATGAAGTGAACGTTAATCACAAAAGGATCAAGTTAACTGATAACCATGATGACTCTTGAATTGTTGGATTTCTTGGTACTCTGATAATTAAAACATTCAAAATCTTTGATTAAAATGCAAAAAAAGACTTGCGGTTAACAGCTACCTACAGAATTACTAGATAATATTTGTCCTTTCAAAATCTTAGTTGTGGAAAAAAATGCTAGATCATCTTCAAGATTATCGAGAAATATTGAACCCAGAATTGATCTAATTGAGTCTCCGATATTTGACCCATACAAAAAGATGTGCGAATTTAACGCAAAAACCGACGCTTAGATTCGTGAAAAATTTAGAGACTTAACGAAAAAAGATTTTGCCTTTTTGACCGTAAAAGCACAGTGAAACTTTTCTAAAATTCAGGGTGAGCGTATGAGCCAAGAGAAGGTTAACAATCACACCTTCTTTAGGAGCTTTCTACAATATTCTCGCACGCACTTCAGAAGTTATCACCAAATCATCACCATAATACACAAAGATTTTATTAATGTAGATGATAAGTGATATTTTATGGACAGAAACAACTGACGTGTAGTATACACTGGACTCTTGAATACAGTAATATGGGCCTTATTATTTCGATGCGAGTTGGGTGGAGGTGGGAGTGGGAGTGTGCCTGAAGAAATGGTACCAACAAAGAAAAACAATGACTTATTTATATATATTATATTAACTATTCTTTTTTGTTTACAATCTTCTGTATGTCGTATAATACACTAATAATGAAAACAACTACAATCGTTCCTACGATGCATAACAGTATGTGATAATGTTTCAACACAACGTTGATTTGGTTATTGTTTACCTTCGATAGATTTATCATTAATAGTTAATGAATTATGTTTACTATCTTGCCTAGTGTCAACTATTTATGATATCGGACGTTCCATATTATGTTCATGTTTTGGTTTCATATTATAACATTTTTCACATAGATCGAAATCTTCACATATTGTACAATGATAACGTATATCACATTGTTGACGACATGTATTACAACTATATATAAATTTTTCTGTTGTTGACGTATGTAATTCATATAATAAACCCATAGTTGAAAATTTTGCACGACGTAATGAAGAAAATTCATAATTTTTGTCACAAGCAAAACTTAAAAATACATTTCCCGTATCCATTAGATCACATTCAATTAGATCATTAATATCATTGACAGCTGGATGGGATGGAATTTCATTATGAAAACGAATAACAAAGAATGCCTAAAGAAAGATATAGATGCAATTTGTTAAGCATAATAATGTTTGGTAAAGAAAGGGTAATCAAGGTCAGTTTAGTAAGCTTTATGAATACTATCTTATAAGACAAGATATGAATACTGTTGTTCCTTTCTTTCAAATTCGTATGGCAAACTTGACTATGAAGTTTGCTGTTTATTGCTATTTCATTAATAGAAGTGACTGATCAATACGTTATGTATATGCTGTGGTCTCCCTCAGGTCTCCAAAGTTGGAGTTTTAACCGTCTTGGTTGTTTCTATTCTGAGATATGATGCATTGGTCATATACACGGGTCAATATTGCAATATGTATTTTCATCGTAAAAATATTCTGCAAAGTTTCAAGTCAAAATTAAAAACTCCAATTTTTAGTAATCAGAGAGGACCATAGGATTTTGCTCTATCACCGCAACACAATGCTACGCGCAAGAAGTTTTTCAAGAATGTGCATTACTCATTGGAGTCGATGTCCGATTCAAGAGCGATTAGACATTTGAGACAAGAAAAAACGATTTTTTTGAAAAATAGTCGATCTGTCAGATTTAGCCACTTGGGGAAAACCTCTAGATATATATGATACCTACTCAACTTTTAATGGATTTTCTACAACATTAGTGCCCTTTTTCTTTAGAAGAGAATTTCGAAATTTTTCTGTATGCGTCGAAAAAAGTGTGTCACAATAAAAACTGATCTTCAAAACAAAATAGAAGCCCAGTGAGTTTCTATTATGAGAATGCGGGGAAGCTTAATATAAATCTTTGATTACTTTCAAAATGGACAAAATTCATCGTTAAAAATTTATCTCTTTGTATTTTTCCATAGTTGAAAATATTTTAGATAGTAAATCAGTACAATTTAACATTTGATTTGCCGTTTTCTTCGAATTTTTCTTTTCATATGAATTTACAGATTTTCGTTTATCAGAAATCTAAATTACAATAATATGTAAAAATCAAGATTTGAATAACGACTATCAAAAAATTTGACTAGAGAGAGATTGATGCTTATTTTTAAAAATCGAAATTGTTAATTTTATATGCAACTTCTATTAACGTTAACCGGATGTTCTGATTCAATAGGATCATCTAAGTCTTCAACTTCTTGTTTTCTTCGATCTTCTTGATCAAGTTCTAAAATATAAAACAAATATAGTTCAATTTTTATTATTAATACTAAATCATACTTTCAATATAGTTTTCAATCATAATCGGCCAATAATCACCATCGAAATACGGAATGTAAAGAACTGTTTGTATTTGATTATCCAAACAATCTTGCATTATATTCTAAATAACAACAATTCAGTTTTACATATTATTTGAAACAAAAACAAAAAGAATGAAGCATCTTCAAGAATTCTGAGATATATTCCCTAGACTGAAAGGCTAGGGTCTAGAAACCGAAATTCACCTGTGTCTGTCTGTCTGTCCGTCTGTCTGTCTGTCCGTCTGTCTGTCTGTCCGTCTGTCTGTCTGTCTGTCTGTCTGTCTGTCTGTCGGTAACGCGGTCAAAATGGCCATTTTTTTGGCACATGTGATCATTTTTTTGGTACAAGCGACCATTTTCTTGGCACAAACGGTCATTTTTTTACTAAAATTAACTAGGTAACTATGGTACAAATGAGCATGTAACTATGGCACAAAAGGTCATTTTTTCGTACAAACGACCACGTAACTATGGCACAGGTGACCATATAGCAACCATGGTACAAACAAACTATTCCAGTAACTACGGCACAGATGACCATATAGCAACCATGGTACAAACAAACTATTCCGGTAACTATGGCACAGATGACCATATAGAAAGCATGGTACAAACAACTATTCCGGTAACTATCGCACAGATGACCATATTGCAACCATGGTACAAACAAACTATTCCGGTAACTATGGCACAGATGACCATATAGCAACCATGGTACAAACAAGTATTCCGGTAACTATGGCACAGATGACCATATAGCAACCATGGTACAAA